ACACACGGATGCACACACACAGAGACACAAACGCGCATACAGACGCACACACACACACAATGCCCAGACACACCAATACACCCATACTCATACACACACACACCCTGCACCCCCCCACACACAAAGACACACATACATATAGACACAGACACATCCAGACTCTCTCACACACACAGACACACAGATCACACACATAAACATACAACAGACATGCACGTGCATATAGACACAGACACGCCCACGGTGTGTCTGTCTCTCTCTTTCTCTCTCTCTCTCACACACACACACACACACACACACAAGAAGGGACTGGATGGGGGCCCGGTCAGGTTCCTGTGCTCTGCTCATCTCAAGGGCCCGAGTGACCTGACCTTTGCCTGTGGCCAGGCGTGCAGCTGGGGGAGGGTGGGTGTGGCCAGCGCCCGCTCCTCACACCGGCCCCCCACGTGTCCTGGCATGGACCCCCGACCCCTGCACAGGCGAGGGCGGCTGAAATGTGCCCCCCTCCCCCCACCCACTGCCACCAGGGCAGGCGGGAAGTAGGAGGTCCTGTGGGCTCAGTGGGCACCTGGCCCGGAGCCGGGGCGGGTCAAGACCCCGTTCCCTCTGGGCCCTCCGCTCTCCTGTGCCACGCCCCGCCCGGTGCCCGTTCCCTCACCTGCCAGTCTGGTCGTGCCCCCGGGCTGCCCCGCTTGGCCGTGGCCACACCCTTCATGGCCTGTGGCACTGCCGTGGGCACCTGGGAAGAATGGGCACTGTTCGGTGGCTTCCTCCCTGTGCAGCCTGACTGAGGACACCGCCCGTGCTCCCAGCTGGGGCGATGCCACCTCGGGCTCCGCCAGGCCCGTCTAAGCCCTGGACCGTCCCTCCCGGGCGGCAGGGGGATGGGGGGCTCCGATATGGGAGGGAGTGGGCAGGCTGCCCAACACGGTTTCCTGGGCTGGCAGTGAGTTGGTGAGCGGGGCCGGCGTGCAGCCCCTGACCCTGTCTGAGCCGAGTCACGGAGCACGCTTCCTGTTTTCCCCCAAGAACCCTCTCGATCGGGCCTCGCTGCTGACGGATTTATTCAGACGATGGGTCCGGGCGACGGGCGCCTCGAATTCCCGCCGACAAGGCCGCGGTGGGCGTCCGGGCCCAGGGCAGCCCGCGGACCATCCGTGGGAACGAAGAGCTGACGGCGACGCTGTTATTAACGTGGGGTTCCGGGCGGGAGCGGCTGGGGCTGGCCCGAGCACGGCTGGTGGGGGGGCTCGGCGTCCCCTGGGCTAAGTGGAGCCATGCACTCCTCCCTGGGAACGCGGGGCGGTGCTCCCCGCTTCCTGCCGACCTTTCGACACCAGCAGATGGTTTTCCTTAGAAGTGCCGCGGCCCACCGGCCACCCTCCTGACTCGGCAGGGGCTGCTTCTAGGGGCTCAGTGAACCCTCTCGTCTCCCTGGGGTCACCTCTGGGCCTGGGACTGGAGGGTCTGTCCCGGAAGCAGGCGGGGCCGGGCCTGGAGGCCCTGGAGACTGGCCCCGTTTGGGTTTGGGGAGCCGTGGGGGCTTCGTGGCTGTGTGTGTGCGCACATGTGTTGCCACGCATGCATGCATGTGGCTCACACGTGCTGATGGCACGTGTGTGCCGGTTTGGGTCAGCCTGGAATCGGGCAGGTGTCATGGGGTGACACAACATGCCTTCACACATTGGTGGGGGCTCTGCAGGAAGAACACACACACACACACACACACACACACACACACACACACACAGGAGGAATACACACACACCCGCTTCCTGCTGTCCCTCGGGGAGAACCTCAGGGCGGGCCAGCCCGGCCTCCTCCTGGGGCCTCCGCCGGGGGCTTCCGCTGGCTCCTGGGGCTGGGGGGCTTTAGCGGCACCCGGGGGTCTGAGATCATCCCTCCAGCCCTCTCAGAAGGGACAAAGAACCCAGCAGGCCAGCGCACACTCAGCTTCACCACTGCCCACCACCGCCCACACCCACCCAGCCCAGGGCCTGCCCCTCTGCTGCCCCAGGCCCAAGCACATCCCACTTCCTGTGGTTTGGGTGAGGGGGCGGGGCTTGTTCCATGGGGAAGAGGAGAAAACTGTCCCGGGAGGCTGCCTGGAGGAGACTAGCAGACACAAGGACCTGGGGTGGGGGTGGGGGGGCGCCTTTCAGAGGTCGCCTCTGCTGGTCAGAGGGGGGGAGTGGCATCCACAGACCAGACCCTCCTGCCTCAAGGGCCTGGAACACAGGGCTGATGGGCTGTGCTTGGAGATGCTTCTAGAACGGTGGTGGTAGAGAAGACGGGTGGTTCTGAAGCTGGCAGGGCCAGTGTGGGGCCCAGGTTCAATCCCCAACACCTTCAGGCCACCCCAGAGAACGGGGCGGGGGGGGGGGGGGCAGAGATGGGGAGAGGGAGAATGGCCTGGCCAGGCCGGCCCAGCCACACCCAGGCGCTTCCCCCGCCCTCTCCCTCCCTCCCTCCCGCAGCAGGACAGCTGTCCCCCCCCTCCCAGCCCCTCGGGCCTGGCTGTGGCCCCAAGTCTGGGGAGACCCAGAGCGGCCCCTTGGGCTGGCTTTGCCGGGAGCCCGCTGCCCTCTGCTGGCCAGTGTGCCCTATTGCAGGCTGCTGGGCCACTCCGGCTGGGCCCCTGCAGGCGTCCATGGCCTGACCTGTGAGCAGGGTCCGGAGACTGAGCTGGTGGCTCCCAGGCTGGCCCTCACCGTGGCCCCCTGCAGTGTCCATCATGGTGGTCTGCCAGCTGCCACTGCCCCCCCCATCCTGTCGCTGTTTTAAAGCCAAAGATGGTCTGCGCTGAGCTGAAACCCCTTGGGCCAGCGTGGTGGCAGCTCTGCCCGGGTGGGCTTCACTGTGCTCGGGGTCAGTGGCCGTCAGCCCCCCAGAGGCAGAGCGGGGTCCCCCAGCCCCTGGAGAAGCCCGTGATGTCAGGTCAGGGGTCTCTCTGTGCTCCTGTCCACCCGGTCTCGCCCACAGGTCTGAGTGGTGACTGAGCAGAACCTTCCAGAAAAGGGAGCCAAGAAGGCAAATTTATCTCCCACCCGGGAGGTGGGGGTTTCTTTTGGCCTCTTGACCGGGGGTTGGGGGGTCTCCCTTTCACTGCTGAGCCTCCAGGGACTGCCAGGACGGCACCAGCTCTTGGTTTTAGTGGAAGTTCAGTGGTTTTCATCCTTTCCTTTTTATTCATCGGAACAGTTGTAACATTTTTTAAATGTACGTTTAAAGCATATTTGTAAGTTAATTGCTCTAAAAAAGAAACGTGTAAGAAAGCTGTTTGCCCAGAGTGTCTCGGTGGAGGGAGCGCGCACAGAGCTTCTGGAAGCCTTGGGGCTCTCACCAGGGGCCCCACGGAGCCTCTGACCACCGGGGACACAGGGACACATGCGTCCCCGCAGATGGGGAACCCAGAGCTCAGCTGCAGACCCCCACAGCTGCCTCCGCTCGAGCGGCTGTGGCTCTTTTTCTTTTTTTTTTTGAGTTGGCTGAATTTTATTCATTTTGGTTTGTTTTGTTTCCTTTGGGGGCAACACCTGGTGACACTTGGGGTTCCTCCTGGCTCTGCACTCAGGAATTACTCCTGGCTGTGCTCAAGAGACCATACAGGATGCTGGGAATTGGACCCGGGTCCGGCTGTGGCTTTTATTGTCGGGCGAGCGTGTTTGCAGGGCTGGTGCGCTGGAGGCAGGCTGCCGGGCGGGGTGGGTGGCGGGGCCCCTGCCAGGAGGAAGAGGTCACGTTAATTAAGCCCGCGAAGGCCCGCACCCCGGGCCAGCCGCCGGCAAATGTCAGGGAGCCGCGTGAGCAGCACCTGAGTGGGTGAGGCCTCGCCCCACGGCAGCTCAGGAGGCGGGGGTCCTGGGGGGTCCTCCGGGAAGTCTGATTATAACGGGGAAGGCTGACTGGATGTGAGGTCGGGCCACCCCGTTTCTCATCTCAGGACGCCTCACAGACATTTGCAGGGTTTCACCCTGCAGAGAAATTCTGCGTGAACCCGGCTGCCCCCAACACCCTGGATTTGGGTGTTCAGAGTTGGGGAAACCCTCCCTGACCTGCCCCGGGGCATGGCACCCCAAGTCCCAGCCTTGGTCTGATTGGGTGGGCAACGCCCTCCCCATGTGGGAGTTTAACCCCAGACCCAATGACGTTGGCCTCTGTCCACCTGCCGGGGTCTGCACGGCCTTTTGGGGGTCCTTCCTCCCCCGCTGCAGGTTCAGGGTCTTCCCGGTGCTGCTAGAGGGAGCCGGGACCCCCGGAAGCACAGTGCATCTGGGGGGCTTAGGTGAGGGCACGGGCTCAGCTGACACAGCCAGGGGCCCCATGCCCATCGCTGAAGCGTTCCCAAAGGGTGGTGTGGCCTAGTGGTCTGCTCTCCTCTGCGGGGCCTCTCTGGGGGTCCATCCGGGCTCTGACCAGTCCTGGGTCTCCGTGTCCCCCCTCCCCAGTCCTCCAGCTCTGAAGTGTCCATCATGGCCATCCGTCTCCTTTGGGTGCTTCTCACCCTCGCGGCTGGGCGTCAAGCCGGCCAGGAAGTGGCCACCTTGACCCTCCAGCAGGTTTCTGGGGGTGTTTTGCCTAAGAGATGGGACCCACCAGCCCTGAGGCTCTGCCAAAGGCTGCCCTCGTCCCCTGCTCTGCATCTGCTGGCGAGGGGTCTCGGGGTGCACCTGTTAGGGACCCAGCCGGGAGCCACTGTCCCCTAGGATGAGCCAGCAGCTCGGATGCGCTGAGGGTGGCGGGAACGTGGCCGACCCCAGTTACAACCCCCGGGCTGGGGCTGCCTCCAGGTCCCTCTGCCTCGGGTCGGCGACCCTTCCCGCGGTGCCCGTGGGGGCTCGTGTCTGACGGGGCTCATGTCCCCCTTGGTCCCCGGATGGGTCCCGGGCTCAGGGCGGGCTCTGGCTGGCTCTGGCCAGGCGCGGGAGACGGGGCTGATGGGCGTTTCGGGCCTGGGGTCCCGGGTCCGAGACTCAGGCTGCTTCTCTCTCTCGTTCCAGGCTTCACAGTGGCGGAATGCGCGCGGCCGCCCGCCAGTCCCCCTGAGCCCGCGGACGACGCCCTTGCCCGTGAGTCCGGGAGTCGCCGAGCGCGGGCGAGGATGGCCCTGGTGGACAAGCACAAGGTCAAGCGGCAGCGGCTGGACAGGATCTGCGAAGGTGAGCGCCCGGCCCCTTTCCCCCCGGGACACGGGGTTCAGGGCATCTCGGTGTTGTGTGACTTCCCGGGTTCCAAACTGTTTCGAGTTAAAATGTTTGTGGGGGGCTGAGTCCCCTGGCAGCCTCTTGGAGGACCCGAGGAACGTCCCAGGATCTTTGCCGACGTCCGGGTGGCCTTGCGAGGGATGGTGCGCCCAGGGCAGGACGGGGGTCCCTGCTCTGTCCATCCTCTGCCAGACTCGGAGCCTCGGCGGGGTGTGGGGGCTCAGTGGGGCCAGCCGCCTCCCACGTGGCACACCCAGAGGTGCTCCTGGCTCTGCACTGGGGGACCCCGCCTGGCGGTGCGCGGGGGACCATATGGAGTGCTGGGGATTGAACTTGGGTCGGCCGCGTGTAAGGCAAACGCCCTACCCGCTGCGCTATCACTCAGGCCCTGTTAGGGATTTTTTTTTTCCCCTTAAGAAACATTAAATGCTGGAGCAATAGCACAGCAGGGGGGGCATTTGCCTTGCAGGCAGCCGACCTGGGTTCGATTCCCAGCATCGCATTTGGTCTTCGAAGCACCATCAGGAGTAATTCCTGAGTGCATGAGCCAGGAGTGACCCCTGTGCATCGCCGGGTGTGACCCAAAAAGAAAATATATATATAGTGTGTGCTTCCGCAGAAATCATGACCATGACTAGCATCAGGGCGCCGTTGGTCCCTGCCTGGGCGGTCCTGCATGTTGAATCCGGGATCTTCCCCCGGCTTTGGGCCCCTCCTGGGGTCTCCGGCAGGTGAAGGGGCAGGCCTGGGTCTCCCCAGCAGAGGCGGGGTCAGACCCTCAGACGTGACCCTCTGGGACTGCTTGGCTTCAGGGCAAGGGAGTTTCCAGGCCCTTCTGGAGGGGCAGTGCTGCCCAGTGGTTAGTGGTCCTGCCCCGGGTGTGTCCCTGTAGGAGTCCCCATCTGACCAGGCCCATGTCCCCGCCACCCGGGACGTGGAGTCTGTGACGGAGAACAGGAGGTCAGGCCCCGGACTGTCCCTTGTTGCAGAGTCCGGCTCATCTTGGGGCCACCGCAAGCCACATCCTTAGTTGTTTCTGCACTGGTGGCAGTTGTCCTCATCTGGGTCCCAAGAGCCCTGTTCCAAAACGTTCTCCAGACTTTCCCAGATGGGCATCAGGGCGTCGTCCCTGGGACTGGCTGCCCAGCCCCAAGCTAGCCTGTCCGCCTCCCCCTTTGTCCCTGGCCTGTGGGCAGAGTGGACCCCGCAGGCCCCCTTCTCCTGACCCCCAGCTCTCAGCTCCTGCCTGCCCCCGGGGACCCCTAAACCTGGCATCACCGATGCGCTGCCCACAGGCTTGTGCCCTGGTTTGACCTGGCTTTGGCGTAAGGAATGTGGGATGAACAGCCCGGAGGGTCTCTGCGGGGAAGGTCACTCCTGCCTCAGGAGACCGCAGGGTGGGTGGCCACGAGTCACCCCCTGCGGGTTCCGAGGTCTCCGCCCGTGGCGGCGTCAGCCCAGTGAAGGGGGTGGACGTGCCCATGCCGAGCGTTTCCTCCGAGCCCAGCGTGTGGGTCAGAGCATCATGGTCGCATGTGCCCCCCATGCGGTGCCCGTCTGGGTCTGAGCGGTGGCTCCCGGTGGGGCCGTTTTCACTTGCGTTGTCTTCTCCGGGGGCACGGGCCCTGTGGTATCAGACCCCCACCCTGAGACGCTCTTCACTCGCTGCCGGAAACTGGGGGTGGGGGGGCGTTGGGCCCCCGTGCCCCTGCCATACCTCGGGGAGGGTCTCTTGGAGGACAGGGAGTGGGGGTGGGGGGCTTAGCTCCTGGCAGAGGGGTGAGGCCCGGGCACCTTCGCTCCTCCTCTCCCAGGGCGCCCCCTGGAGGGGCCCAGGCCACGGCTCCATCGGCGTCCCTGATGGAGCCCCCGATGGAGCACGGGAGCGTTGGGGCTGCGTCTCGGTGGTCTGCAAGCCCTTCTGGGAAATCTCTTTAGCCCCAAAATGCGGATTTTTAAAATGGGATTATAATGTTGCTATACATTATAATTACATGTTGGGATTCGGCAATTATGCACATTTCAGTAATTATGTGATTAGCAATAATTACATTAGCTATGTAAATATACAATAGTCAGCCGACGGGGCTGCGTCTCCATCACGTAAACGGGGGCCGCGAGCCCACCCTACACTGCCCGCAGGGGGGCCGAGCCGGAAGCGGCGGGCTAGGGTCCGGGTGCAGGGGTGGGGTGGGGGGGGTCTGCCGAGGGCACGTCGGGTCTCCTCTCGGGGCCAAGGTCGTTCCGTCCGGTAGCGCTGCCGGGTCACCGTGTCCTTCCTGTGTCCCCCCCACATGCCCCCACGCATGGCCAGGGCTGCAGACATCCCTGGACGGGGCGGACAGGGCCCCTGTCACCCTGCAGGGGGCAGGGGACGGCGGGGAAGCGCCCGGGACGGGGGTTTCAGCTGGACCCTGCGGGGTGGGAGGGAGAGAGTCTGTGGTGGGGAGGGGTGCGTAGGGTCACCATGTGTCCACGGGAAGGAGCTGGGAACCTGTTCGAGCGCTCGTAGGACGTGCCGTGACCCAGGGGGTGCGACCTGGGGCGTCCCGGCTGCCCCCAGACTCGGCCCCACGCTGCGGTTCTCAGCGGTCCTCACTGCCATATGTCCCTTGGCCGTGGCACCCACTGAGGAGGCCTGACGGGGTCCCAGCTGGGCCCTGGACGCCGGCGCTGGCCTGCACGACCGCCAGCTCTGGGCTCCTGCTGGGCCGGCATTGGCCGCCCTGTGGCCACAGCTTGGGGCTGGGGGCCAGACCCGCACATGGCCCTCGGAGCTGTCTCTGGGGGTCGCACATAGTGTGCGGAGTCGCCTGGTATGGGTGCCTCTGGGACCAAGCACGGGGCAGTAAGGGACAGGAGCCCGAGCCCCCTCGGAGGGGGGAGAAAGAGGTTCCAGGTGCGCCCGGCGGCTCCCCTGACTCCCAGGCCCTCGTCTCCAGTGGCCGGGAGTGGACCAGGTCCCCAGGCACGAGCCCACCGTCTGTCCCACCTTCAGCCTCTCTGTGGAAGTTCCGGTGTTTCTGTTAGGTGGAATTTAAGGTGACCTCAGAGACAGGTGGGGGCTGTGCGGCCAGGGCTGCCCCTTGTCCTTTGGGGTCACGACCAACTCAGTGCTGGGGGCTCCACCTGGCAGGGCCCAGTCGTGCAGAGGCTCAAGGCTAGACCCTCTGTGTGAGGAATTGTGTCCTGACCCCTGACATCGGGGTTAGAGCACTCCACCCCTTGGATGGACTCAGACACACACACACACACACACACACACCCCTGACATCAGGGTTAGAGCACTCCACCCCTTGGATGGACACACACACACACACACACCCCTGACATCGGGGTTAGAGCACTCCACCCCTTGGATGGACACACACACACACACACACACACACACACACACACACACACCCTGAGGAGCCTGCAGCCACCTGCTGTCCTGAGTGGCAGCACCTGGTCACATACACACACACACACACCCCTGCGGAACCTGCAACCATCGCCACCTGCTGTTCTGAGTGTCAGCATCTGGTGCCCGCAGCAAGGCGTCCCTTTCAGGTGTTGTCCCCAGTCCGGGGGGGGGGGGGGGGGGGTCCCTGAGAGGCTGGAACCAGTCCGGCCTCACACGTCCCCAGCTGGAAGTCAGGGATCCGCTTGGGTTCGAGCAGGGAGACTCCCGGAGCCAGGCTGGAGCCAGGCCTGAGCCTTGGCCTGGCAGTGTCCACACACAGACCCGACCCATTCTCTGGCCCAGAACTGTGCATGGGGGCGGGGGGGGGGGGAACACTTGGCTCCGTCCCGCCTCTTAGCTCGCTCCGAGCCTGTCGCTGGATTAACGCTCATCAGGGCGGATTAGGATGGAATTGACCTAAAAGCCCTTTCCCTCCCTCCCCTCCTCCCGTTACTCTTGACGGAGACCCCCCCTCCTGGGGGGGCTGCGGCGGGGGCCTGGGTGCCCCACCACGGGGCCTCCCCCCCCCCATGTCACGTGGCACAAAGCCACGGGCACCGACTTAGCTCTTAATCCGCTCGCGCGCCAGCCGCTTCCTTCCCGGGGCTGCTGCTGTGGGCCGAGCCTGCTAGGGTTTCGGGGATGAATAATTCAGCCGGACTCTGAAACAGAAGCGCCGGCCGGGTCCCCTGCCGTCCGGGAGACGTCACCCAGACCGGAGCCGCGTCCCGATGCCGGTGCCCAGCAGGTACGGGCCGCTCGGGCGCTCTCAGAGCTGGGACGCGGCCGGCTGGCTCGAGGGCCCCTGGGCAGTCCCGGAGCCCGGGCCTGCGGGCAGGAGGAGCTCGCTGACCGATGGCGACGTCTGGGAGGAGCTGCAGGACCCGGCGCCGCCCTTCCCGCCGGAGGCCTGGTACCCGGAGGCCGGGAGGAAGCGCTCGGCGCCCGACTTCGCCCTATACGGCAGCCGCCACGCGGTGATGTCCACGTACAGCCCCCCGCGCCCACCCGCAGCCGGCCGGGGACCCGGCGAGCCCCCCCATCCTCGGGACCTTGGCAGAACCCGGCCCCCCGCGGGGTACGGGTTGCTTAGTAGCGGCCTGGCGTGGGGCGATGGCCCGCGGGACACGGGACACCTGCACCCGGGCCCTGGGGCGGACGGCTTCCCCCCGGGCCCACGGACACCGAGCCGGACCCCCGTGGCCCCGCGCTACCCGGGGGAGCCGCCCTTCTACGGTGACGCGGACCCCAGCAGGCCCGCGGCCCCGACCTGTCTGATCTCCGGGAACGGCGAGCCCAGCCCGCCGGCCACGCTGCCCGCCTTCCTGACCCTGCTGCGGAGCGAGGGGCTGGCCGAGCCCACCCTGGGCGCCCTCCTGCAACAGGGGTTCGACTGCCCGGCTGCCCTGGCCGCCCTGGAGGACGCGGACATCAAGTGTGTGGCCCCCAACCTGGGCCAGGCGCGTATCCTGGGCCGCCTGGCCAGTAGCTTTCGGCAGGGCCGGGCGGGGCCCCCACCCCGGGCCCACTCGGCCAGCCTGGGCGCCTCGGGGCCGCCACCCCAGCCCGGGTCCCCCCGGCCCGCGGGCCCCGCTCGGCGCCCCGCCAGCGCCCCGTCCCAGAACGCCCTGGACACGGCGGGCCCCTACCCCCGGCCCCCACTTCCCCTCCGGCTCCGGGTACGGCTCTCCAGCCCCCTGCGCTCTCACAGCCCGGCCGGGCCCCCCCTGCCCGCCGCAGGCTGGGGTGGCCTTGACGACGGCGGGGCCCCCCGGACCCCGGATCCCCGGACCCCGGACCGCCTACTCCACCGCGTACACGGTGCCCATGGAGCTGCTCAAGCGAGAACGCAGTGCGGCCGCCTCGCCCCTGGCCAGCGCCCACGGGGGCCCCCTGGAGCTGCCCCAGGCGCCGCCGGCCGGCCCGGGCCTGCACTCGCCGCACTGGCCCTACCAGAAGGTGGTCCGGCGCACCGGCGCGCCCATCATCGTGTCCACCACGCTGGTTCCGGAACCAAGTAATCACTCTGCCCCACCCACACCGCCTCCTCCAGGCAGGCCTCAGCCGGGGGTGGCGTGGGGTGGCCTCTATTCCCCGGGGCCTCCACGCGGCCAGGCGCTGCGCAGGCCGTGGTGTGGATGGGAAAGGCCAGGCCAGGGTCAACTGCTGGGCCCCCGGCTCCAGCCCCTGTGGAGGTCGGGACCCCCGGAAGAGCCGTGGGAGGCTGTCAAGTGCTTGGCTGACCTGTGTTTTCTCCTCCCGCTGCCCAAACTTCAGGCCCGTTTCCCCGGGATAAGGAGCCGCGCTGGGGGTGACAGAGAGGGTCCCCGGCCTTGCGGGAAGGGTCCCCTTCGCGCCAAGGGTCCCCTTCACACCCGTGCATTTGGCAAGTTCCCGGGCCTGGTCACTGGGCTCCTCCAGGCCGAGGAGTCTATTGTGGGAACAGCCAGGCCCGCGGTTCCGTTTCCTGCCTGGCCTTCGGTTTGGTTTGGTTCTACCGCGGGTGGGTCAGGGTTCTCTTTGTTCGATTTTTTTTTTCCTCTCTCTCTCTTCACCTTATCCCCCTCCTAATCAGCGTGCGACGACGTCAGATCATTTTTCCGAGGGCCGCGCTCTGCCCCCCCCCCCCAACATTCTTTCTCTGCAACCAACTAATTTGCATGGCGGTGACATTCGTTGCTCAAGTAATTTCATCTGATAATGGCCAGGCTTGCAAAGCGGATCCGAAAACATATTCCTTAATTATGCGTTGCTAGGCGACGGGAGGGTTTGGTCATAATCACGGAAAGATTAGCCCTGCAGAGCCGCCTCGGAGGGAGGCGGCAGAAGCGCCCGGTCTCTCTTCGCCCTCTGTTTGTTTTGCCGCCTCGTACCCCAAACAGCCGCTGCGATCCGGGCAGGGGGGGACGGAGCTCCGTGGGGGCTGTGTGGAGCGAAGGTCGACCCACCGCTCGGCAGCCTTGAGGGATCCCGGTTTCTGCGTGGCCGGCATGGAGGCCGCCTTCCTGCCCTTCTGGTACCTTCTGGCTGCCACGAGAACACCCTCCCCTGAGTGGTGGGTGGCACCGGGCCAGCCCGGGCCCCTGGAGCGCCCCGTCCGTGTTGGCAGGCCTTTGGTGTGTGGACTGAGACCCAGAGTCCCAGGCCCGGGGGGTCTTCTAGTCGGTGTCCTTCAAGTGACCATTCCGATTGCCTGGGCCCTGTGGGCGTCACCGCGTGGGCTGTCCCCTCCCTGGCCCCCCGAGTTCCTCCCGGCAGTGGGAGAGAGCCACGCCTGCGTGTGTACGTGGAGGCCACCGTGTTGCTCGTCTCCTGCATTGGCGGTTTGTCCCTCCGCCTCTCCGCGCAGGCGCTGGGGGTGGACACTGGACACTCCTGTCGGGGGGGAGGGGGTGGGTACAAGGACTCCTGCTGGGTCCCGGGGTGCATGCACCGTGACAGGGTGACCCTGCCCTCCCCACGTCCCACAGTGCGGCAGCTGGCCAGGCTTAGTGGCCAAGCCCACAGGGACAGCCATGCCCAACGGTGGACGACGAACTCGGGGCACGTGACCCCAGCTGAAAGGTCTCTCCAGTCCCCGAGCACATAGGGGGTGACCAAGCCACGGGAGGGGACGCAGAGTCGGCAGCCTTGCTGGGGGTGCGTGAGGCCCCTCCACACTGCCTAGGGCGGGGGAGGTGACCGCCACTGACCCTTCAAAGTTCATATCAGGTGACCGCCACTGACCCATCAAAATTTATATCAGTACACAAATCGTGGGCAGGAAGGGGGGGGTTGTGTGCTGGGTTGGAGCGTGTGTCCGGGCGGGGTGGCCAGAAGGACCCGCCTGGGTCGGGGTCGAACCCGGGACCACCGGGGGCAGCCGACTTGCCCTGTGTGCTATGTCCTGGGACTTGCTGGGTGCAGGACTGCCCTGGCCACAGCGGGGCCTTTTGGGGGCCCGGCCACGTCCCCACAAGGTGGTAGCCTTAGTACAGATGACCGAGACCTGGCATGAAGTCACCCGGCTGGCGGGGGCAGCGCCCCCAACATGTGAGGCCGCGGTTGGGTCCCACACACAGAGAAGGGAGTTGGGGTCCGCCGGCGGCTGTGCCTCCCCCAGGTTCCACGCTATACCCCCCACCCCCAGCCCCCCGGGTCTGAGTTTGTGTCCAGCTTCTAGAGAGCAGGTTGGCTGAGCCAGCCACGGTGGGGTGTGACGGGAAGGCTTCGGTGCCTGTGGCCGGTGCCTTTGGACTGTCCCCACCTCACTGTCCTTCCCTGGTGGCAGGGGTTTGTCCTGGTGGCCACTGTCCTGGCCGCTGGCAGCAGCTCGGTTCTGTCCTGGGTGGCCTCTGGGCTTCCGCCGTGCCTGCCAGCGGCTTGGCCAGCTGTCCCCGCCTCCTTGGTGGCCCGGGCCCATCGGCCAGCAGGACAGCGGTGGGGGTGGCCATCCGTGTCTGTGGGACCCTGTCCAGGCAGTGGCACCCGCACCCAGGAGGCAAGAGACTGGGACTCGAGCCCATAGGGCAGCTCGTCTCGCATGGTCTGGTCACTGCCCGCACCCCATCCCCCTTGGGAAACTGGGCAGCTGTGTCCATGCCCGAGGCCAGCCACACTTTTCTCCTGACCAGGCCCTCACGCACCGCAGCCCTGGGCAGCCTCGGGCGTCCCTCCCTCCTGGCATGTGGGGACGGCCGGGCCAGCTGTCAGGACTCTGGGAAGAGCCAGCAAGGCTGGCCTGGAGAACAGACGGGCACTTGGACCCGGGCCACAGGCTGAGGACTGATCACCCCCACCCGACTTTCCGTGTGGCCCGAGCTCTCGCGGGCTCTGTGGGGTTTGGCCCTCAGGCTTTGCGTGTGGGTGTGGGTGTAGGGTCTCAGTGGTGCCAGGGGTTGTGACCATCAGCCATGGGTCTGGGCTGGTGCTGGGCCAAGGACCTCCCAGCCTGCCAGGCATGTGCTGTCCCAACCAGGATGGTCTAAATGTGACCGATAAAGACCCATCGCTGACACGGCATCTGTGGGCCCAAAGAGGGGGCAGGGATCATTGGATCCCCCAGCACCTGGCATGGGCTCGAGCACCACCAGATGCGGCTAGAAGCCAGCACAGGGAGAAGGAAAGATGGCCCGACTCCCGTGTGGGAAGTGGGGTCCCCTCCTCCCTGGGCCTGCACCCCTGAGGAGGAGGGGAGAACGCTGTGGCACGGGTTCTGGGGGGTTGTTGAATTTAGGGAGCCACACACGGTTCCCAGGACTTGTTCCTGGTGGGTCTGGCCCATACAGGGTGCTGGGCTTTGAGCAAGGCCGATGCCTTCTTGCTGGTCCCCAGCCCCCCAGGGCACGGTCTTAATAGGATTCCCCGAGGCCGGGATCTCTGCCCCCACACTGGCTGCCAGACCACCAGGCACAGCAGAAAGCCACGTGGTGGTTCTGCCCTGACTCGTCTCTACGCCGGAGTCTCTGGGGTGGGGTGGGGTGGGGTGGGGGGCCTTTTCCGGGCTCTGCCACTTGGTCACTTTCTCATCTGGTGCTGGGGGCCCACAGGGACCCGGGCCGCCATCTGCCGGCCAGCCCAGAGCAGGACCACCCAAGCGGGGCCCGGGCCATTGCTAGGCAACCTGGAGCTGATGGACCGGGAAACGCCAGTTCCCTAGGGTTCAGGTCTGCGGGACGGGGCGCAGGAGCGTGTGGACAGAGCTGCTGGGGGCCGGTTTCTGCCGGGCAGCGGAGTCTGCGCGCGTGTCTGTGTCCCCAAGGCAGGGGGTGTCCCACCCAGGTACCCTGGACACCGCAGGCCTCCTATCCCCCGCCCCCCAAGTCCGCCAGCAGGGTCCTCACCGCTCTGCCGCCCTGCAGGTATCCGCCCCCAGATCATGAACGGGCCCCTGCACCCGCGGCCCCTGGTGGCCCTGCTGGACGGCCGGGACTGCACGGTGGAGATGCCCATCCTCAAGGACCTGGCCACCGTGGCCTTCTGCGACGCGCAGTCCACGCAGGAGATCCACGAGAAGGTGCGTGTGTGCCCCTCAGCGGCGTCCCACGCGCCCACCCCCACCAGGGGCCGGGTGGGCTGGGCCCCACGCACTGCTCTGCTCGCTCCCAGGTGCTCAACGAGGCGGTGGGCGCCATGATGTACCACACGATTGCGCTGACCAGGGAGGACCTGGAGAAGTTCAAGGCCCTACGTGTCATCGTGCGTATCGGCAGTGGTTACGACAACGTGGACATCAAGGCGGCAGGCGAGCTGGGTGAGCAGCGCAGGGGGGATGGGCACCGCGGGGGGAGGGCGGGGACCTGCCGGCTTCTTCTTCCCACGTGGGGGCCCCCAGAAGAGCCACTGCCGCCGTGCAGGAACCCCCAGACGGTGTCCCGGGGTCAGTAACGTCCTCCCGGGGCGTCCTGAGCTCATGCCCCCCTCCCGATCCCCCCGGGGGGCCGTGACGGGGGTGCCAGGCTCATCCCGGGGCTCCCCCGCCAACCGCCCACAGGCATCGCCGTGTGCAACATCCCGTCGGCGGCCGTGGAGGAGACGGCCGACTCCACCATCTGCCACGTCCTCAACCTTTACCGGCGCAACACGTGGCTGTACCAGGCGCTGCGGGAGGGCACACGTGTCCAGAGCGTGGAGCAGATCCGGGACGTGGCCTCGGGCGCGGCGCGCATCCGCGGGGAGACGCTGGGCCTCATCGGCTTCGGTAGGTGGCCCCCGGGGGGATGGTGGGTGGCCCAGGCCGCTTCCAGAGAGGGCTTGTGCGGGTGCCGGCCTGGAAGCCAGCAGAGCGCCTCAGTTTCCCCGTCCGTCGGGTGCAGGAGAAACAGGGCAGGAGGCCACGCACGGTGCCGCTGCCCCTTGGCCCCTTCCTTCCACACTGCCCATGGGCCACCCGTGTCGATGGGTGTGGCTGCAGCGCCCCCTGCTGGTGCCTGCAGCTTCTGGCGCCGGGGACGGGCCCTTCTGGGCTTTCCTGGGGCCTCTGAGGGTGGTCGGGCCAGGGCAGTTGTTCTCAGGCCTCGAATGCAGCCCTCACCGTCCCCCACCCTGGGTTTGGGGGTGCAGTCGGTGGTCAGGGGACGGAGATTTCTGCAGGGAAGTCAGCCGACAGGAATAGAATTTAACACTTAGAAATGGCCCAGATGGGTTCTCCTGCTGCCCCCCACCGCCGTGTTTCGGGCCCAAGAACTGGGCCTGGGGTCCCCTGGGACTATCCAGGAAGTGTCCCAGTGAGAGAATCCAGGCCCTGGGGGGCCCCCCGGTCGGGGGTGTATGTATGGGGAAGGAGTTGTGGGCTGGCCCTTCTGGAGGGGACAGTCCCCAGACCCCACCTGGTCCCACCCACCCCTTGTGGGCTTCCAGCAGCTCTGGCCTCGGGACCCAGGAGGAGGCATGATGCCACCCCGGGACCGTTGGCCGCCCGCTCTCAGGACTGGCCAGTGGGCACCCGGGGCGGCCCCCTGGGGGAAGGACTGTGGAGAAACACCGTGGGGCAGCCCGGAAGGGCCACCCACCCCGGCAGCCTCGGGCCGTGGCCACGCTCACCGGACGCTCTCTCTCCGCACAGGTCGCACGGGGCAGGCGGTCGCTGTTCGAGCCAAGGCCTTTGGATTCAGCGTCGTGTTTTATGACCCCTACTTGCAGGACGGGATTGAGCGGTCCCTGGGCGTGCAGCGCGTCTACACCCTGCAGGACTTGCTGTATCAGAGCGACTGCGTGTCCCTGCACTGTAACCTCAACGAGCATAACCACCACCTCATCAACGACTTTACCATCAAGCAGGTAACGGCCGGGGGCGGGGGGCAGGGGAGCGGCCCACACTGGGCAGAGGAAGAGACCCCGCAGGCACCTGACCGGCCTCTCTCTGTCCCCGCAGATGAGACAAGGGGCGTTCCTGGTGAACGCGGCCCGCGGCGGCCTGGTGGACGAGAAAGCCTTAGCCCAAGCCCTCAAGGAGGGCAGGATACGAGGGGCTGCCCTCGACGTGCACGAGTCGGAGCCTTTCAGGTGGGTCGGCGCGGAGACCGGGCCACGGGGGCAAGTCCCCAGAGGCTGTCAGAGCGGTCAGGTGCTGGAGGCTGTGGTCGGCGGGCCCGCCCTGAGCGGCGCTGCCTGGCGTCCACTCACTTCCGTGGCTTCTTCCCTCCCCAGCTTTGCTCAGGGTCCCCTGAAAGATGCCCCCAATCTCATCTGCACGCCCCACACGGCCTGGTACAGCGAGCAGGCGTCCCTGGAGATGCGGGAGGCGGCCGCCACCGAGATCCGCCGGGCCATCACCGGTGAGCCTCCCTCTCCCCCTCCCCCACCATGGCCAAGCGTTGCTGGAGTGCAGGGTGGGGCCCCGGGTAGCTGCGCTCGGTGAGGGGAGATGCCCCCACCCCGATCACCTGCTGTGGCCACTGTGTGCAAGTGACCCCCCCGTTTCCTCTCGCTCCAGGCCGCATCCCGGAAAGCTTAAGGAACTGTGTGAACAAGGAATTCTTCGTCACGACAGCGCCCTGGTCGGTCCTAGACCAGCAGGCCATCCACCCCGAGCTCAATGGTGCCACTTACAGGTGAGCGCGTGCCTGCCTTTCTGGGGACACGGGTCTGAGCACTGGTCAAGGACTCAACCATTGTGTCCCTACGGCCGTCAAGGGCCCCGGGCAGTGATGTGGCACGAGTGAGGACCCCTTCAGCGGCCTTCCTTCCCGCCTTGCAGGGAGGTCGGCCTCCCACAGAGCAGGGTCGGTCCACGACAGGCCCGCTCTGGGCCCCGGGTGCCAACAGCTCTTGCCACTCCCAGCCTTCAGAGGGGCCCTGTGGCCCTCACGACCCCCAGGCTCCCACATTCCGAGCACCACAGGCCTGTTCTCCTCAGGCCCTTGGCAAAGCAACGGGGCACCGCCCCCATCACCCGCGAAGGTCTCGCGTGTCCTTGCCGAGGGGCCAGGGTTGGGATGTGCCCGTGTCCGGGTTCCTCCTGCCGGCGTGGCTGAGCCGGGTAGCTCCTTTTGCAGGAAGCGCCTGTTCGTGTTGGGGCCTCTCGCAGGCGTTTTCTCGGGGGGGACTCACCCGCCCTTCCGTGTTCTCCGCAGATACCCCCCGGGTATCGTGGGCGTGGCCCCGGGGGGACTCCCCGCCGCCATGGAAGCCATCATCCCCGGCGGCATCCCGGTGACCCACAGCCTGCCCACCGTGGCACACCCGTCCCAAGCGCCCTCTCCCAATCAGCCCACGAAACACGGGGACAGTCGAGAGCACCCCAACGAGCAATAGCAGAGTGACGCGCGGGAACCACTCGCGAGCCTGGGACCAAGAGGCGCCGGAGGTGAACTGAGATGGAACGTGTCGTCGGGCTTCGGCCCGCGCCTGCAGCGTGGGCCGAGCCGAGCCTCGGGCGTGGCCGGGAGCGCCCCCTTCTGTTGTTGTGTGTTAAGTTTCTCATCTGTGCATCACGTCGCCGAGAGTGAATCGATCCACCCTCCCTCCCCTTCCCCAGCCGCCCCGGGTGAGCACCCACCGCAGGGCTGCCGCATCTGCGTCCGAGCGCGTGTCGCATCAGGCGTCCCCGATGGAGGAAGGAAACCTGCTCCGGAGTGGACACCCCCCCCCCCGCCACCGAGACTCTAGTCCCTGGGTCCACGGGGCCTGGTCCGCCCTTCCTGTGAAAGGGAAGGTGAAATCACTACAAAACGGGGAGCAGACGGTCTCCCGCGCATCTCCCGGGAACTGCGGGCGGGGCGGGCGAGTTGGTCGCGAGCGCAGTTACACCCTCTGATGATGCAAAAAAAAAAAGAAAAAAAAAGAAAAAAGCAAAAAGAAAAAAAAAGTATTAAGTTTCACAAGCTGTTTGTACTCAAATATATTTTCTCAGTTTCAGATCCTCAGCTATTTTATTGAGTGGAAAGTCTTGAGCTGAAATAGTTCAAGAATAATGTTGCATTTCCTTATGTCTCAGGAAACACTTTTTATGGTAACTTGTCAGATTGTCTATGAACAAACCCACTTTTTTAGACATTGATAAAGTCTTCTTTTCTTCACGTGCTATTTTATACAAGAACACTTCAGGTGTGTAGATGTGACTGATTTTAACAAATCCTATTAGATTTGTATCAACTAGTTACATGTTATATTCATAGTCTTTTGTGAATCATCGCCTTTTTGTTTAAAAGATGGCCTATTTTGAGCCTTTGTATAGGTACATTCCTGTTTTTGTGACAAAAAAAAAAACCCTTTCAAACTGTCCCAAACAGAAATATAATGGCTATCAGAACTGTTTTGTTTTAGTGTGAGTTACCGTTACTGTATTTGTTTATTGTAAAGGTGGACATTTAGCGTTCAGTGCAGTTTTCAATAAAAAGTAATGATAAAATTCGTTAAGTTCCGAAATTTTAGTACGTGTCACCAGTGTGAAAGGACTCTCCTTAAGGGCTGGAGAGTCGGGGGTGGGGGTGGGGGGAGGGCTTGCTGGGCACGCGGCAGGCCAGGTAAGTCCCGAGACAGCTGGAGACTGGCCTCGTTTCCAGGGCTGAACTCACAGCTTTTCTGCAAGCAGACCCGGTACCGTGGACAAGCCCGTCGGACAGGGCTCTATTCCCCGAGTCCTCACAGTGCCTCTTTCCCGGGTCAATGAAAGCCATCATTCTCCTCAAGATAACAACAGTGGGTTGCAATGGTAGAATCACGGACTCTAGGGACTGGAGCAGGTGAGGTGCATGTCTTGGGCACAGCTGACCTGGGTTCAATCCCCGACACCCCATATGGTCCCCATGCATCACAGGAGTGAGCCCTGGGTGGCCCAAAAAAGGAAAAAAAAAATTGATTCTGATTTGACCCCAGCAGCCCATGAGGCTTCTCCGACAGCGTCAAGGACCCACTATGTGCTGTGTCCATCACCCGGCTCTGGGCCTGCCCCGCCCCCCCCCCCCCCCCCCCATGCCAGAGGGAACAGCAGGCCCTACTGCGTGGGGAGCAGAAGCCTGGGATTTTAATTAGAACCAAAGCACCACACTCGGCTCCCTAGAAAAGCGCGCCGTCTGCCCACATGGCCCAGGGTCGACCCAAAGACATTCGGGTCTGTCCCTGGACACAAGGACTCTGCTACTAAAAGTGCCGCGTTCTCCTTGGGCCAGAGTCGTGGCTGTGTAGGCCTCAGCGTCACTAACCGGCATGAACTCACTGGAGGTTTGGCCTTCGGCTGAGGCCAGGACACGGGAGGAGACGGTCACCCAGGAGACCAGAGTGCATGCAGCCTGGCCTTCGAGCAGCGCTGACTGACCGCAGTGCAGCGAGCGACTCCATGCCTGCACCCCTCCCCACACAGTGCTCTCAAAGAGGGTGGTTTGTGCGTACTGCCGAGGGGCAGGATCTCTGCTTCTCCGGCCGCCTCTCCAGTGGGAGACCAGACCGAGACCTCCTCAGACCCCCCCACTGCTCTGGCCTCGGCGACCTGACTGAGACCACAGCGGGCCGGGGCCGTCAGAGAGAGACGGCTCTCGGCAGTCCGGCCCCGGCCACGGAAAATGCGCTTGTGTGGGATCGACTCGGCGCAACCGAGGCTCCGTCCCGGGAATGCCTTTGACGAGTGTTCGGAGGGAGAAAGAAAGAAAAGACGTGACACCTGGTGGGTATTTTTCTATTTTTAGTATTCCAGCATTAAAACTGAGGTTGTGCACAGTTCAATACCATCTAAACAGAACTCAGGAGAAAACAAGAAGCAAATATTTTAAAAGGTTTCACAGCCTTTTCACCCAAGGGAAGGAGAAGCGCGTGTGTGGACGGACCCACCATGTACACACACCGGGGCGGTCCCCAGATTCCTCGCCACGCGGTTAATGGTCTACAAAGTGCTTATCAGGACACGGAGTCTCTGTGTTCCTGAGAGAGGTCGGAAATTTTTACCCAGTATTCAATTTAAACCTGAAGTGGTCAAATAATACTTCTTGATAGCAAGACTTCCTTTCTACCCAACTTGAAATAAGATGGCCACAGGCAGCCGACATGCAGAAATTCTCAGTTGCTCGCTGAGGAACTCACACGACGCAATCACCACCCCGCTGCGATTTTAGAATCCTTATTCGTTGCGGAACGGATATTCCCAATTAGCGCAAGCAAAGGCATGCCTTTCTACCTTCAAGCAGAGGCGGTGAAATCCAGCAGGAACCCAGAGAGGCCCTCTGCCTGCCCAGTTGGGAATATGCCACCGTCGCTCGAGCCAGAGAGAAAGTTCCCACGATTCACCTCACGGGCGCAACCCCGGCTGGCATCCCGGGAGGGAAGAGTCAGACTGACCGCCGCCCCGTCGGGCAGAGTCCTCTGCAAGGGCTCTCTTCCCAACAAACGAATATCTAAATACTGAAAGGGGGGCGTTGTCAGAAAACTCGAAAAAAGTAGTAGTAGAAACCAAAACCCTTTACAAATAAGGGAAACAACATCTATGAAGCTCACTCAAAAAAAAAGGAAAAAAAAAAATCTTGCCTTGCAATTTGTTCCTTCAAGATTGGATTTTATTGGGCACAACAGGAACGAAATCATTAATAAAATAAAAAGCTTGTCGTTCATTTACGGTTTGCTGTGAATAATTTAGTCTCTAACGAGCTCTAGTGAGACTGCACGGGAAATGGGTCTTTGTGGTGGGAGCAGAGAGCCAGGTTCTGCTTGAAAGGTCTCGGAGGAGCCAGGAGCCACGAGCCACCTGCCATGTGCTCTGGTAGGTGCCATGCTGGGAAACTTCTCAGGAATATGAAGATGCTGGTACAACGTCTCCTATCACACAACTTCCTACACAACCACATGCGTTACTTTATAGACAGATTTACAATGTGAAAGGGGAAGTTCTGTCTTCGTGTTTCACAAACGAGTCCGAGCCGGCCGTCTGGCGTCCGGCCGGCCGCGGGTGGGGAGGCCCCGGGGAGGCCCCCGGGCCGCCCCGCCCCGCCCCGCCCCGGCCGGTCTGCTCCTTGCGGCCGGCCAGGCGCTCTGCCCGGGAGCCCGCACACCCGGCTCCGGAGCGCCCGTCCCTCGGTCTTCGGCCCCGGCTCTCACTCGTCCTCGTCGTCTTCGTCCTCCTCCCCGTCGGACAGGGACGTGCAGGGCCGGATCTGCCGGTAGCGGTCGAGCCACTTCTCCACCATCTGCGTGACCAGCGGGTGGTTGCGCCGCCGCGAGCTCTTCTGCATGGCCACCAGCACGCCGCCCTCGGTCACGCAGCAGTCCAGCCACTCCCGGAGGAGCTTCTCCTGCTGCTCCTCGTTGCCGAGCTGCGGGGGCCGGGCGGGGGGAGGGGAGACGCGCGGGTCAGTGGAGGGAAGAAGCCGCCCGAGGCCGGAGGGGCCCCGAGAGGGCCGAAGCTGCCCCGGCCTGCGACGCCAGACCCCCGCCCAGGAGGAGGGAAGGACGAAACTAAGCACCTGGCCGGTGACCTGCGCCGAGCAAAGGCCAGAGAAGGACAGTCGCGGCTCCCGAACACGAGGGAAGCCACGCCCGCCCCCCCCCCCCCAGAAGGTCAAACGCTGCGGCCCTTCTCGGAGCACAAGCCCCGTGCCCGCGCACTACCCAGCACCCGAGGGCGGCTTGCTCTCCTCTGCCGTGACCTCACACCAACATCCCAAGTGCGGTGTAGGAAAGGTGGCTCCTGGGGGCTGGAGCGACGGCACAGCCGGTGAGGGCACTGGCCTTGCGAGCAGCGGACCCCGGTTCAACCCACCGCATCCCTTACGGTCCCCCGAGCACCGCCAGGGGTAATTCCCGAGTGCAGAGCCAGGAGGAAGCCGTGGGCTGTGCATCGCCGGGTGTGACCCCAAAAGCCAAGAAAACTAAATAAATAAAAAGAAGAAGGAAAAAGTGGCTCCTAACTTGCTCTGACCAGGACTGAGCGGACGTGGCACGGGGCCCTCACCTCCTGCGCAGAAAGGAAGTGCACGTGGAGCAGCTTCCTCTCGCTGTCCACCAGAGGCAGGAACGTGATGGTGACGTCGTCGTCCGTGTCCAGGTTAGCACCAGCGCCCCGGCCGCCGTAGCCGTCATTTTCCATGGCGACCAGGGCGGAGAAGTGGCCCCTCGTATAGCCCAGAGCAATCGGACTTTTCCAACAGAAACTCTGTTCCCACAACAAAGGCAGATAAACACCTGGGAGAAGGGCAGAGAACCACAACTGAGATCTCCAGCGACGCCCACCGCCTCGGCACGAGCGCGCAGGACTTCCAGCGCACTCCGGATCCACAGCTTACCTTGAAACCGAGTGTATCCTAAAGTTTCTCCCCGGAAACTCTTGTAGTATTTGACCCCATAAACTATGATTGGTCGCCTAAGAATATGCGCGAGGACAAAAATGTGCGTCTGCTCCAAGCTCGCTCCAGGCTGTAGAAGACAAAAAAGCGATTTCGCTCTTTAAAACGCTTTCTCGGGGCCGGAGTGACAGCGCAGTGGGTGGGGGTTTGCCTTGCACGCGGCTGACCCGGGTCCGATTCCCAGCATCCCACATGGTCCCCCGAGAACAGCCAGGCGGAATTCCTGAGTGCGTGAGCCAGGAGGAATCCCTGTGCATCGCCGGGTGTGACCCAAAAAGCCAAACGGAAAAAAAAACAAAAAACAACCATTTTCTCGTGTCTGAGGCCCTGGTGGAAAGAGCAGCTCGCTCTTCGTGCGCTCCCCTTCCGCACTAACCAGCGCCAGGCTAAAGCAACAACTGCCTCCCGAGACGCGGGGTCCCTGTCAGGGATGGGCTCAGCAGGCACACAGATACCACCGTCCCAACTCGAGAACTGAAGAGACGGGAATGACTTCTGAGCAGGAGAACGAGACAGCAGAGGGCGTCGGCCTTCCAGACTCGCCTTCCGGCTGAGTTACTCGTAAAAAGATGCTCCCGGGGCTGGAGCAATAGCACAGCGGGGAGGGCGTTTGCCTTGCACGCGGCCGACCCAGGTTCGATCCCCAGCATCCCATAGGGTCCCCCGAGCACCGCCAGGAGTGATTCCTGAGTACAAAGCCAGGAGTAACTCCTGTGCATCGCTGGGTGTGACCCAAAAACCAAAAAAAAAAGATGCTCCCAAGGTGTGTCCTTTCTGTGAGAGCGCTGTCCCTCCATGTGCACCACCGCAGATGGGACGCGCTGGCCTCCCTACGACCGGCCCCCCTCTGTGGGAATGACGTGTGTTTGCTAAGGAGCCCCACGTCTGATGTGCTGACACCGAGAGCTTCGAGGGGGCAGCCACAGGGCTCCTTCCTCGAAAGGCTCACTCCCAAGACCGCCAGGAACCCTCCGACCCACGGCTCTGCTCCTGATTTGTGTCACGTGACAACAAACCCGTGGGAGAAAGCCAAGGCTGGTCGTCCCCGGGGGGCCCTGCAGGACTCCACGACAAAGGAAGGGACCGGGGTCACTCTGGAGGGGGCGCGAGAGGCCGGAGCCAGCTTCTCTCGGAAGGCGCGTCTGGGAGACAAAACTGTCCACCGCGGACTCATCACGGAACACAGCCTGTCTCTGCCCCTTTCTGGCCCCAGGAGTCCCCCGGGGTCACCAGCAGACGACGGCGCTCACCTGACTGGCGAGGGAGAGGATGAACGCCCAGTCTTCCTGCCACTGCTCCTCTCGGAGAGAGAAATGTAAACCGAAGCTCTGAGAATACCACGATTCCCAATCTTTCCAACGCGTGTAAAACCTGAGAAAAGGAAAACAGACCTCAGGGAACAGTGAACGGCAACTTGATCCTGTACTCAGTGAAGTCTGAAGGAGTTCGTGGGCAGATTAGTCTTTTCGGACAAAAAAGGTCTCCGCGCTGGGCCACAGCGATAGTATGACAGGGAGGGTGTTTGCCTCAAATGTGGCCGACCTGGGTTCGATCCCCAGCACTCCGTCTGGCCCCCGGAGCCCCTCCAGCAGTGATCCCCGAGCACAGAGCCAGGAGTCAGCCCTGAACACCTTCGGCTATGGCCCTAGAATCAAACTCACTAATGAGCCACCAACTATCAACAGACTGGACGCGACCCATGTGTTCATCACAATATCCAAATCACTTCCTTCAGGTTACTTTCATTATATACATTATCTGATCATCAAATATAAAGCATCACTGCAACAAAAACCATTCTTAATATGCAACACTTCTAGGGGTCTCACACATGGCAGAGTCCTCACCCCCAGTTTCCAGGCAACCCCCAAGCAGACTGGGAATAGTCCCAGGTCCTCTGCACTCCCAAGGAAGGATGTGATGTGTGTGTGTGTGTGTCTCTGAGTTGGGGGTGGTATGTGTGTGTGGGGGGGGTATGGGTGTGGGTGTTGGGGGGAGGGAGAAGCTGATAAACAGAAAACGTTAATTAGGAGCCTTGCCCAGCGGTGCTCAGGGGTTCCTCCTGGCTCTGCACTCAGGAATCCCTCCTCATGGTGCCCAGGGGACATACGGGGTCCCAATGACCAAACCGGGGTTGGTCACCTGCAAGGCAAACGCCCCACCCCCTGTACCATCACTCCAGCCTCAATTTAAAACTTCTTGGTGCCTGAAATGAACGAGTCTGTCAAAAATGAAACGGTGAATGCACTGAGAACTCCTTGGGGATAAGTAAGTTCAGGAACAGAGACTGGGTGTTTTTAGCTTGACGAGTAAGTACGGTGCAGGGAGTGGAGATACAGTAGAGTTCGGACAGTGTTTGCCTTCCACACGGCCAACCTAAGTTCCAACCCCGGTGTCAGATACGGAGTGATCACGGAGCACAGCCCGAGAGCGGGCGGGGGGTGGGGAGGAATCATCTAGAAAACATAAACACCATGCAAGGAGACACACACTCCTGATTTCAAAGCCTGACACTGTAAGAGACACTCAAGACAGTCAAGGGGAAACGGCAACCTGGAGAAAAACAAAACAGGACTTTTGCTGTCCAAGAATTTCTGCACGTCCCAACACAATGGAAACAAGTCTTTTCAACACACGGCATGTGGACGACTCAATCACATGCCGACATGCAGAATATGTCTGTTTGTTGTTTTTGCCATGGCCTCTGGGACCACGCCCAGTTAATGCTCAGGGCTCACTCCTGGCTCTGGACTCAGGAATCACGCCTGGTGGTACGAGGACCGGGTGGGAGGCCGTGATCAAACCCGGCTCAGCCGTTGTAAGGCAAACGCCCTCCCTGCTCCGCACCATTGCTCCGGGCCACTTGTTTCATTTTTAAGACCAACCTGGAGGTGCTTAGGAACGACTCCAAGTTCTGTGCTCAGGGCTCACGCCTTGCTCTGTGCTCCGGAGACGGTATGCAGTGACTGGGAGAAACCAGGGCCAGCCCCTGGCATGCAGGTACCTTAAAAGCCCTGGACGCTCTCCGGACCGTGATTTTAGATCTTTATCCCACAGCTAAATAAAACTTAGTTTAAAATGAGTCCGACTACCTGAAATGTGAACTTGAAAGCTAAAAAATTCCAAAGGAAAATATGAAGTAAAACTTCAAAACGGGCAAATGTTAAGTAGCAAAAGACGGAAATGAAGGAGCCGGCAAGCAAGAGCAGATGGGAATGCAAGTTGAGGCAGGACGCCCTAAGCACCACGATGAAACGCACAGGTCAGAGTGCAAAGAAGGCCCCTGGCAAGTTACTGGGCTGGACACGGCCTAGGGTAAAACCCGAGGCACGAAGGAACAGTAACAGGAACTTCCAAATTAAAAAAAAAAAAGGGAACAGAGATGGGGGGAAAAAAAACAGAAAACAAAGTCCAATAACTAAGAGACAACTACAAATAACTTTTAAAATAATAATGGGCTGGGGCTGGAGCGATAGCACAGCGGGGAGGGCGTCTGCCTTGCACGCAGCCAACATGGCCGACACAGGTTCGATTCCCAGCATCCCACATGGTCCCCCGAGCACCGCCAGGAGCAATTCCTGAGTGCATGAGCCAGGAGGAACCTCTGAGCATCGCCAGGTGTGACCCTAAGAGCAAAAATAAATAAATAAATAAAATAATAATGGAAGTCACAAAAAAAGGAACTAAATAATTTGGGGAAAAAAAGAATAAATTTGAAACAACAGTGACCCAGAACTTCACAAAACATCGGACACTACAGCAGTTTTGGGGAGCTCGAAGAGCACCAAGAAGAAAAACACACCAGAGGCTGGAGTGACAACACAGCGGGCAGGGCGTTTGCCTTGCACGCGGCCGACCTGGGTTCGATTCCCAGCGCCCCATACAGTCCCCCAAGCACTGCCAGGAGTAACTCCTGAGTACAGAGCCAGGGACCCAGAAGTAACCTCTGAGCATCGCCGGGTGTGACCCAAAACAGGAAGAAAAAAAAATCAAAAAGAGAAAAATCACCAGAAAAAGAAGAATGAAGACCTGATTTTCAAATCACAGAAAAGTACAGATAAGAAAAAAAAATCTGAAATGAGTCAAAGTAAAACTACAGAGATAAAAAGAATTCCATCTGAGTGACGGCCTCTCCAACCATCCAGAGAAGACAAGTGAAATGTCGAGAGAACCGCTGAGAGAAAACTCTACCAACCTAGAGTTCTTTGCCCTCAGAAGTTACTCTTCATATAGACTACTCTGCACTGTAGCACTGTCCTCCCGTTGCTCACTGATTTGCTCCAGTGGGCACCAGTAACGTCTCCATTGCGAGACCTGTAGTTACTGTGTTTGACATATCAAATATGCCACGGGGAGCTTGCCAGGCTCTGCCGTGCGGGCGGGATACTCTCGGTAGCTTGCCGGGCTCTCCGAGAGGGGCGGAACAGACTATTCAAATAAACAAAAATTGATGAAATCTGTTACCCATTCAGAAACGTTAAAAGTTTATTTGAGCGGGGGAAGAATTTACTACAGGCCAGAAATTGGGAATCTAGGAACATCGAAGGGAAATAAAGGCAAACTACAAATAACCATTTTTCTAACTCTTTCTTGATCTAACACAGTTTACTCGAAGAGCAACAACAGCACATGTGATCGTGTTCCCTGTCTGCGGCATCTAGACACACGCGCTCCCAGACACAGCTACACCCAGTGCTCCGTGGAACCAAAACGGGTGCCGGCCAAGACGGCTGCAAGACCCTGCAGAGGACCCGGGCCTGCTCTGGGGGTGCCTTCAGCCACACGCTGCGACCAGTGGTCACTCCAGGCCTGAGCTGGGCACGGGAGTCCAGGCCCTGGGCCGCCCTGCACACAAACCCGCCGCGCTGCCCCTTGGCTCGGGCCGCTTTGTTACCACAAGGCAACGGCGAAACTCACGACAAGTTAGGAAGGAAGCCTGGATCGCTGAATGCGGAGACATACCGCAAGCCCTAGTGCAACCAACCTATGAAAACTGACCAAGGATCACCGATGCGAAACAGGCTGGATCAGAAACACGAACGGCAGAGTGAAGACAAAAACAGGCAGGAAACAGGCACCAACAACAGCCTGGGGTGCTGGGTGTCGGGGCACCCGGAGATGCTCTGGGGACGGACGGCATGTGGCGCTTGGGGGCCGGCTCCAGAGAGCCGCAGGGAAGGCAGGAGCCCCCCAACCCCACACCTGGTGGGTCTCGCTCCGGCTACCAACGCTCACCCCGTCCCGACAGTATCCAGCAGGTGCAGAGCACAGCCACTTCGAGAAGAACTTGTCGGTTTCGTGAGACGTGTGATCCTGCAATCGTGCACCCGAAAATTGACCCCCGTGAGCTAGAAATGCACGTTATCAAAACCCGAATAGATTTTATAGCTGCTTTATTCATGGCTGTCAAAAGCTGCAAGAACCAAGATGCCCTTCGAGAGAAACGAACGGATAAATCGGCTGGTTCATCCAATGAAATATTCTCAAAAGGAAATGACTGATAAGGTCACGAGGGAAACGGGGAGGAAGCTGAGAAGCAGTTAACAGGTGGAAGAGGCCGATCTGAAGTCGAGACGGGGTACACTGACCCCAACCGTACGACAAGCAGTTCAAAGCAAAACTATTTACGGACTAAAACGACAACGGTGGGTCTCGGTGGCAGAGCCCTTGGGTTGCACGAGTTGAGGCCCTGGCACCTGGCACCTGGCACCTGGCACCTGGCCCCCTGGCCCCCTTCCTCTCCCCCTCCCTCCACTCCTGCCTCTCTCCCCCCAGAGAGGGAGAGAAAAGGGAGGAAAAGACCAAGTGGCGGAGCAAAGGACAGTCACATGGCGCCATTGTCCACAGCCACTGAAAGCCCCTGGAAGGAGCTTCACACGCTGTCATTCACGGGTCTCACCATCTGTGGCTCCACTTGGTCCAACAGCACCCAAACTGGAGCATGAAATGTTGGCCACCGCCACCATTCCTGTAGGTACCGCCGTCCAACGACAGCCAAGAGTAAGCAACAGGTGAGAGGCCAGCCCGGGACACCCGAGGGTCAGCCACGCAGAGCCCCCGCATCACTGCAACGGAGTACAGAGTCTGGGCGGCGCGCCTATGCAGACCGCCAAATGAAACGAACGCGCGCTCTGATCCTGGATGTTCCTATGGGGGAATCACACGGGGGCTGGGGGCTGGGGGCTGGGGGCTGGTCAGAGGGCACAGACAGGGCAAACCGTTTCTTCAGAGTTTCTTCTAAATTAAAAATGCCACTTTTATTTTGCTTCTTGTTTTTTTAACGGCATCTGGACCAGAATTAAGAGTCCACGAGGTAAGGCCCTGCGTGGAGCGGTCTGTTCGAACCCCCAGCACCACCTGGGGTCCCCTAAGCACCGCCAGAGGCCGCTCTCCTAAATGGTCAGGAAGAGACCCCGAGTACCACCAGGGTGAGAGGGCGCACAGCGAGCCAGGCACTCACTGTGCACGTGAACCCGACTCAATCCCCGGCACCACCAGGAGTGACTCCTCACTGCAGAGCCACGAGGAACCCCTGAACACGGTCAGGTGACACTCACGGTCACGGTCCTCCCGCTGTTCATCCATTTGCTCAAGCGGGCCCAGTAACGTTCCCATCATGAGACTTGTTGTTACTGCGTTTGGCGTATCGAGTATGTCACGGGGAGCCTGCCAGGCTCTGCCGTGTGGGCGGGATGCTCTGGGTAGCTTGCCGGGCTCTCCGAGAGGGGCGGAGGAATCGAACCCGGCTTGGCCGGGCCAGCCTCGCGCAAGGCAAACGCCCTACCACTGTTCTATCGCTCCAGCCCGTGTCACTCACAAGCCAAAAAATAAAAACGTCTAAGGAGACGCGGCACAGCCAGCTCACAGGGCACAGTTCCTCGCCGCTGGCCGTCACGGGAAAGGCTGACCCACAGGTCCGTCACAACAACCACTCGCACTGCCGGGGCTCGCGGCCGCTTTGCACCGGCATGCCAAGGAGTGACACAGCCACCACCGAACGAAAACAGCCCGCGCTGGGCATCAGGAGGGGGTCAGTGAAAGGAAATGACCCAGAGTCTGGTTGTCAGGCACACGTTTCTACAGGACGTTAGCAAGCATCATGCCAGCGGGCTCCGATTCCATGCCCAGAGCTGGCCAAAAGGGCCCGGGCGGGACCCGCTCCCCTCACCTGGAGTGACAATCCCAGCAATCCCAGTCCACGCAGACCTGAGCTGTCCTCGTAAATCCCGCGCGGTGGCCCTCTCCGCCTCCCCACCAGGGCCCAGGGCCTCCGCCCCCATCACCCACCGCCAGGTGAGGAAGAAGCGGCCCCCTGCAGGGGGCACCAGCGGGAAAGGCGCCCGGGCCCTGTGCAGGAGCAGCTCTGTGTGGCTGCACTCAGGGGTCGGGGACCGTCCCACCCACTCGCCCAGCCCTAGAGGCGGTCACTTGTGCGGCCGTCTCCGTCTTGTGGGTCACACCCAGGCGGGCAGGGCGGCCGCAGAGCACAAGCCAAGCCGGAGGGCGCCTGGACACCCACACGGCCAACAAGACAAAGCGACCACCACCAGGCTGCCACAAAGCCCCTCACCAAGACAAGGCCGCGGGGCTGAGCCGTTCATCCTTGAGCTACTCCCGATACCGGACGCGGCCATCAGGGGCAGGAGGCAACTTCAGACAGACCAATGCTAGTGAACATACATTTTTACTCTCTCAGTATACTTGATTCTACAATTTAGGCTTCGTCGAGGGAATCCGAGTGCCCTCATTTTCAAATCCTCGTGAGTATCTTTCACAAGGAAATGCAACATCTCTGTTCTCCGGAGTTCACAGGTAATATTAGAATGTGACCCCCAAACACGACAACAAAATCCACAACCAGAATGTGTTCACAAGTCCTGTGAAGCTATCAGACACTTATCTGGAGTAGGGTCATCGTAACTGCAAAAGCATTCAAGTAGCATATGTGTTTGGGGTGGGGGCTGAGAGTACCCTTTGATCCTGAATAGAACATTTGACATTTGATCCTGAATAGAACATCTGACATTTCAATTCTCTTTTACCTACTAACTTTAACAGCGGGCAATTTAAAAGCCTCTTTCGGCTTCAAATTTCTCATTTAAAATATGAAAATTAGAAGACATGTTAGCACAAAAAACAAGCAAATACTCAAGTCAAGAAAATCAAAAGATCAGAGGCCGTAGCAATAGCACAGTGGCTTCACTTATACAGGGCTCTTTTTTTTTTTTTGCTTTTTGGGTCACACCCATCGATGTACAGAGGTCACTTCTGGCTCTGCACTCAGAAATTACTCCTGGCGGTGGTCAGGGGACCCTATGGGATGCTGGGAATCGAACCTGGGTTGGCCGCGTACAAGGCAAACGCCCTACCTGCTGTGCTATCGCTCCAGCCCTATACAGGGCTCTTGTCCTGCACACAGCTGACCCAGGTTCGATCCCCGACACCCATATGGTCCCCCCAAGGCCCGCCAGGAGTGATTCCTGAGCCCAGAGCCAGGAGTAACCCCTGAGCACTGCCAGGTGTGGTCCAAAACCAAAACAAAGTGGCCAAAGTACTAAGCCTCCAGCCATTGTTTCAAGTTCACAGCCACCTTTAACCTTGGCGAGATGCACGTGTGAAGCCTTCTGGGGCGGCTGCGAATGTGAGTGCGGCTCCGACGGAGGTGAGTGCCAGTGGGATTCTCAGCGGAACCCCTCAGGATGGGGCGGGGCAGGAGAACTCCATCTCCTGGATCCACACAGGAATGCACGCGTACGGCACACGGTGCCTGACACTCGCTGGCAAAGGGGGTGTTCACGGAGGTGGAACACACACACACACACACACGGAGAGACGGTGAGCAGTCAGTCAAATGAGAGGAACTGGATGCGCGCGCGCACACACATACACTTTAAATAAAAATACCCTAACACTACCTGCCTCGGGAAAATACAGTGTCAGGAACTCTCAATGTAAAATAATTACACGCAAACATGTGCTTTTACACGTTTGTCTTCTATGTGGAGAACATATTTGATATGTCCATTTGCCATAGAGACACCTATCGCCACACACCTGTCAGCTGCTACGAACCACAAAGGCTTCCGTTTCAAGCGTAACAGCCCCCAGGTCAGGGGCACGCACACGCCATGCACAGACTCTGGCTCCATCTCCCGCGGGGGGCCACCCTGGCGGCCCTTGGCACAGCATGCTTGAAGCCCTCTGGCCCAGCTGGCCAACTACCTCCGGAGTGCCCCCCTCCCCCGCCCCAGGCCCCTGGCACTGTCCTGGGGCCCTCGGGGACAAGAGCGGAACGGCAGGGTCCAGGATCCGAGCCCCCTGCCCCAGGAAACACGCGGCCCCCGGGGCAAGCGCCCGGCCAGGAAGGCGGCAGCTCACCAGTGTGAACAGTCGTGCAGGCTGTCGTGCAGGGCTTTGCGAAGCACCGAGTCCTTGTCATAAATGCCCCAGGTGGCCTGCAGGACCGAGTCAAGTAAGCAGTCCCCGGCAGTGCGGTTCCAAAGTGCATACAGACGACTGTCCAGCCGGGTGGCCAGCTCCAGGGACCAGTTTATGATGGGAGATTCTTCCTCTAACTCTGCATGACCAACGGAGAGAACACGGTTATTGTCACACCCAGGAAAGTCAGGACGAGAAGTGGAGGAAGAAACCCATTCTCTAGGGGCTAGCAAGCTTAGGGATGATTTTTTCTTTTTAATGCCTGAACAAATTTGATCGACTGAAATACAAACCCTTATTGGCCATAGAATTTATTCAACTTTAAAATTCTTTACGATTTATTTTCCTAAAGTGATGGATGCAGGGCCAGAGCAGTAACACCACAGGCAGGGTGCTAGCCTGACACGCGGTTGACCTGATCACCAGCACCCCGTATGGTTGCCCCCACATTCTGCCAGGAGCGATCCCTGAGCACAGAGCCAGGAGTAAGTCCTGAGCACTGCTGGCTGTGACCCAAAGAATGAATAAGCAAAATTCAACGGAGAAATGTTCTCCTTTCAGAAGCGAAGCAGGCCCCCCCGAGGACCATCCGTGAGCGTGGCCCTGTCCCCTGTGTCACAGCTGAGAGCCAGAGAAAGCCGCCTGTCTGCCTCGGAATCCCTCCCGGCCTCTGAATCCCTTCCGGTACGATTTCTTGTTCCCCGCTTTCCTCTGCTGCCGCTTCTGCTGTGACAGTACTGTGGGGCTCCGGGTGGACACAGCCTCGCGCGGGCAGCTACAGCCCTTGGCTCTGTGTGGACACGGGCAGCTGCAGTCCTGGGCTCCGGGTGGACATGCCAGAGGTGGACACGCGCACGGGCGGGCACTCTGCCGCTGAGCCGTCGCTGGCCCCCGGGCGAGCATTTCCACATCACGATGAAGCTCTGACCTTCTGACAGCTCAAAGGGCTGGAGTGGGGTTTCTCCCGCTAGAGGCCTGGGTTCAAGGTGGCCCCCAGGTCCCCCCCAAGAGACCCCCCCCATACCTCCCTGCGTGAACAGTCCTGGCACACTCGCTCCCCACCCAAGTTTAAATAAAGCTGCTGCCCCCCAGACCTTGTGAAATAAAGCGCGAGCTTTATAAAAAAAATGAGTGAAAGAGAAAGTACGATTATTAATCCCTGGCTTACCTTTTTGCACATCTCTGTCAAGCACCTCATCAAATAATTTTTCTTGGACTGTTGGAGGTAAATCTTCAATATCTACAAAGGAAAAAAATGACTTAAAAGATCTTCTGCCTCATAACTCAATAAATCTGCTACCAACATCCAACAGCAACCTCTCCTAAAAGAGTATCCGCCCACGGAAGTTTATCAAGTAGCTTTAGAGAAAAACTGCGCATGCAGAGTACGCGGCAGAAGTGAAAATATTTCAGTTCCACGCTTCACCACCCCAGAGCGGTTGATCTAAGAACAGTGACACCTGAACCCAGTGACTCCATGCAGCTGTCAAGGAGAAGAGTGAACCCAGCTGGCAGGGCTGTGGACCGGCCCGGGGAGACAGCAGGGGCTGGGCAGCGAGTGCTCAGCTGCGGGTGCGAGTCCCGCGTTCCCTGAACCGACTCGGCCGAGGAGGTCACAGCTCCACTCTGCCCACCCGGAGCACGGACCCGGCTCTGCTCTCGCAAGGCCGGGAACTGCCCGAGGAAGTGTCAGGTGAGACAACAGGGTCTGATGGGGTGGAGGGAGCGGAAATATCACTAAATTTTACAATGAAACCAAAGAGGGGAAAAAAAGGGGCAGGGCGGAACGTCTTCCATACTGGAAGCCAGTTACTGTGTCAGTTGCTCCCTCCCTCCAGACGACTTGGGCACTCGCTTCCGAGGGACCCTTGGACTAAGAGAAGCAGCCTGAATCGACAGAGGCTCGCGCAGTAGCCAACGTATCTGCTTTCTAGCAAAAGTATTTTCACTCAGGATATTTAGGAAAAAAAAAAAAAAAGAGGGATGGCACTCTTTCCACTTCAAAATTTGGAGTTACCTGCTGGCAACGTAAATGTGACAAGGTCAGTCAGGAAATAGCAAGCAAAGTCCCCCTTTCTTTGATGCAGAGAAGCCGCGATCTCGCGCCGGATCTGCTCTGTCAGCTCAGGACACACCATTGCTGGAATACACTTCGCTGCTTGCTGAGACACCTTCAAGACAAGAACCAGGGGCCAGAGAGAACAGGACAGGAGGTTAAGGCGCTGGCCGTGCATGCAGCCAATTCAATCCCCGGCGACCACAATCCCCAGAGCAATGATAGGGAGTCACTCTAAACAGAGCCAGGAACAGCCTCGGAGCACGACTGGGTAAGGCCCCAAACCGAAGGGGGAGGAAAAAATACCAACAACAATAAACACCGTACTCTGCATCACGTTTACCGTCGACAGAGCGGAAAAGAACAGCATCTCAAGAGAGGGCTGGACAGAGCGCAACAGCCCGAGCTCTGCACGCACGCCGGAGACTGGGGTTCAGTCCCCGGCAGAGGACACTGAGCACCCTGAGCTCCCTGAGCTCCAAGCACAGACCCAGAACAACACCCACCACCCAGGCACTGCCAGGTGTGCCCCCCCCCAAAAAAAGTCACTGTCCCTGTCTTCCAGGTGTTCATCGATTTGCTCAAATGAGCACCAATAACGTCTCACAACAAATTGTGAGACTTGCTGTTTCTGTTTTTGGCAGATTGAATACGTCACGGGTAGCGTGCCGAGCTCGCCGAGAGGGGTGGAGGAATCGAACCTGGGTCGGCCGCATGCGAGGCAGACGCCCTACCCGCTGTGCTATCGCTCCAGCCCCTAACGAACGTATTTTTTAAAACATCACAAAAACTTCCCAGTTACTCGAGGTTTTATAATATAACCAATATTCATATGTCTACTCATACAACACTCCAGACAAACGGCCATAAAAATGATTCGCCTTCCCTATCATTGATTCTTTTTCTTGGTTAGGAATTAATCAGAAAAATAAACAGTGATGCCTATGAAAGTGCGCACGGGGCCAGAGAGAAATATCCGCAGGCACCTCGTGGACTCAGCCCGAGCACTGCTAAGTATGGCACAAAAAACAAAGAAAGTACACATAAACATTTATTAGTCGAATTACAGATCCAGCCCATTATTTCTTCAAAAATGAAGCTTGCTCCTTCGAACATCCTGTGGCCAATAGACTCCACCCTGCTTTAGAAGTCCACCCTGGGTCTACCGCACGGGCCCTTTCTCCCTGAACGTGGATCTCGCCTGCTGGTCTCCTAGTGTTTCTCTGCTGACCTACTTTCACTCCAGAGATGCCTGTGTTTGCTCTCGCCCCTCACATCTTTCTAAATAAGTTTCAATAAAACCTACCTTGATTCACCGCCCCCCCAAAAAAAGTATATTCCCTTAAAAGTGACACAAGGCTGGAGACAGTCTCGCGGACAAGGCACAGAGTCGACCTGGGTCCACCCCCTACCCCCTAGAAGGTCCCACAGGCCCACCAGGAGTGATTTCTGAGCACTGAATCAGGAGTAACCTCTAAGAACCAACGGTGTAACCCAAAAAAACAAAACATACAAAAGACTGTTGAGAGATAAGCCCTCAAATTTATGAAGGCAACCTATGAAAAAGGGAGCTGGGCGCATGAAATGGCACAAAGAAAGCAGCTTCAATGAATGGTGCTGGGAAAACAAGACAGCCACAAGCAAAAAACAGAGGGAAAAAAAAAAAAAGAAAAACCCCAAGAAATCGAAAGAAACAAACTACAACCTCTCGCAAATCATCATCACAAAAATCCAATCAAAGTGGACTAAAGCCCTTGAAGTTCGACCAGAATCCATAAAACACAACTGAGGAAAACAGGTAAACTCTCCAGGTCACGGACTGCAGGTGCCTCCGAGGGTCCGGCCCCAGCGGCAAAGACAGCACAAGCAAAAAATAAACGAGTCCACAAGAAACTAGGGAGTCTCTGCACGGCGAGATAGTCAGGCTGAACTAAAAAAGACACTAACTAAACAGGAGGAAACACCAGCACGTCACACTTGAGATGCCGGGCTGGAATCGCAGACAGACACGGACAGGTGAATGCATACAGATCACTCAGAGAACGCCACAACCACCTTCCCTTACAAGAAACAAAGCGACACAAAACACACAACGACCCCGTCAAAAACTGGGGAGAGAGATGAAATGATCCTCCCCCCGGGGAAGACAGTTCTGAGTGCCAGCCGGCAGTGGGCACTCACTGTCGCTTCTCAGGGAAACGCAAGTCGGAAGGCTGAGGCCTCCTCGCGCACCAAAGACTAGAGACGGGCGGGCGGGAAAAGGACCCTCGGTCCTGAGAGCAGGAACGGCAGCCTCCAGGGAAAGCCGCACGGGGAAGTCTTTTTTTTTTTTAAAAAAAAAAAAAAGAGTTCCCATAAGACCTAGTGGTTCCGCTTCTTGGCATCGACCCCCAAACTGCAGAAACACCGATCTGGAAAAAGTAGATGCACAAGCCGGTGTTCACTGCAACACTGCACGCAGCAGCCACCCAGGCACCGCTGACAGGCAGGCAGGCAACGCAGTGTGGCACACATGAAATACTGCTCAGCTCGAGGGGGGTATGCTGCAGCTGGCGTGTGCGTCGAGTTCGCTGGGGAGGATCAGGAGAGCTCGCTCTCTGCGGTCGAAGCGCGAAGGCAGCGCACAGCGCTGAACAAGGCAAACCCTTCCGAAGGGCTGGGGGGTGGGGGGTGCAGAAAGAAGGCGGGTGCAGTGACTTTACAGACGCCGCAAACGCTCACACTCTGGCCATCATGTCACCCCACCACGACTCAAAGGAGAAAAAAAGATCATCGAAACGTTCACCCTGGTTCTCTCCGAACTACAGAACTACAAATGAGAAAGATGACACCTTTCTGCTTTTGTTCTGTCTGAACTTTCGCCCAAGTCCACTGTTCTGAATTTTTTCCAGAAAGCAGGCTTTTCCATCGCCCCCAGGGAGTCACACAGACCACGAAAATCTTTCCAAGTCCCGGGTGGTAAGAACCTGACGCTTCGGAAGGGCCCATCGACACCCCGGACGTCAGGAACGAGACCCCGGGGCCGAGTCCCTCGAGCGAGCGAGCCGGCGGCTGACCTCGGTGAGCAGAATGGCCAGCATGTCCTGCCTCTGGAAGCGGATGGCCAGGTGCACCAGAGTGTAGCCGACATCAAAAGCGGAAGGCCGGTTCAGCAAGCGCACTTCGTCTGCGGTCAGCTGCCGGGCAATGTCCCCGCCCGATGACTTGTACGCTTCTATGGCGGCCAGGTCGCCTTCCACGACCCCTACAACGAGAACCAAGAGACAGGGCGTTCACTGGGCGTCTCCAGAGCACCTCGGGCTCTGAGCATTTGCTCCGGGCCGCCGTGGTCCTGGGCGTCGCTCACGCTTCCTGGAGGAGGAAAGTTAGTGTCATGCTCCCCGCGCCCCCACCTCGGACTTCTCTGCACAGCAGCAACCGGACAGACACTCACCTTCGGATCGGGCGGGCTCCGCGCTCTGGCGAGGAAGGGCAGGAATTGCGAGAATATACTAATGAGAGAGAGCGAAGACCCGCTCCCCAGCAGGAAAGCCAGACGGCAACAGAAGACACTGCTGGGCTGGAGAGGTACGGTCTCGCACACACCCAACCCGGGTTCGATCCCTGGCACCACCAAGTGTGGCCAAAAAAACCCCAAAACCTAACTAGCAAGAGATAATGATGTTCCCCTATTCGGGTCCTGGCTGCAAAAACTGTGAGAAGGGGGTGCTTCCAGCTGGTGCTGGGCTACGTTTCTGCCCTTGACAGTGAACCGGTAAAGCTAAATTAAAGCAAACAGCACCTTCCCAGTTGCTAACTTTGAAACCACCTCTACCCATTACAAACTGACTTCGACGTGAGCTAACGTTCGCAGTATCTTGATTTCAGGACCTCTCCAAAGCCAAGCGTTTCCCACATCCATTAAGTAGTAACATAGTCAGACTAAATCAGATGATTTTGAACTGAAATATGCCAGAACGTTACAAGTCGGCTGGAAGTAGGGAGATTTTGCCAAGTCCATCGAGAGTTTTTCCGACTGGTGTCAGCCAGCCAGCAGCCCCGTCCCTGAGCAGGACTCCACGTCTACAACAACACACCTTGGCGAAAAGTGGAGGTGGCAGGTCAGCCTCAGAGTTACCACAAACGGGCTGGAGCGATAGCACAGCGGGGAGGGCGTTTGCCTTGCACGCGGCCGACCCAGGTTCGATTCCCAGCATCCCATAGGGTCCCCTGAGCACCGCCAGGGGTGATTCCTGAGTGCAGAGCCAGGAGGAACCCCTGTGCATCGCCGGGCGTGACCCCAAAAGAAAAAGAAAAAAAAATTACCACAAACAGGTTCTGTTCTGATATCCAGGCTTTGGGGCCACACCTAACGGTGCTCAGAACTTTGGATGACTACCAGCAGTGCTCAGGGGCCAAGGCCTCGCCCACCGAACTGTCTCTCTTGCCCCAAACAATGACCTAAGACTAGGGGCTGCAGAGATAGCACAGTAGGTGGGGCACTTGCCGTTAAAGCGGCCAACCCAGGGTTCAGTCCACAGCAACCCCTATGGTCCTCCGAGTCCCACCAGGAGGATTCCTGAGCACAGATCCAGGAGGAAGCCCTGAGCACTGCCAGGTGTGGCCCAAAACAAAAATAAACAGAAAGACAAACCAAGACTGTAGGATCAAATCACGTCGTGCCCTAAGTTACAGCAAGCAAAAATCTGGGGATAAAATGGTAATATTTGTAGCACCGTTCTCATTTTCCTTTAAAATCTCTCACCAGTGTACCAATGCACCCGGTTTCCCTCCCGCCACCCCCAGAATCTCTCTCTTTGCGATCTCTATCCACTCCCCTTAGAAACCACCCCCCACAGGCTATTGAATTCCCGCATTCACTGACTGCCCTTAGCACACAGACCACCAACACAGCGTGAAACAAACAAAACAAAACAATGATTCCTGTGCGCAAAACAACCCACTTTCATCAAAATTCCGACCCATTCAAAGCAATCTTCAAATTAGGAAGTTCTAGACCCTTCCTGCAACTCCCACCCTCTCGCTGAAGACCTCTACCCTAACAAATACCCGGACGAGACTAAAATTCTGCTCCATTGGGGCTGGAGCGATAGCACAGTGGGCAGGGCGTTTGCCTTGCACGCGGCCAACCCGGGTTCGATTCCCAGCATCCCATAGGGTCCCCCGAGCACTGCCAGGAGTCATTCCTGAGTGCAAAGCCAGGAGTAACCCCTGTGCATCGCCGGGTGTGACCCCAAAAGCACCCCCCCAAAAAAAAATTCTGCTCCATCAAGCGACTACTTCTTACGGAACTTGTATTGTCACAGCTGGACGCTATACCCCAATACTTAATACTTCAAAAGCGCCCGTCTCTCGCACTTTGAAATCCACAGTAAGGGGCAGAGTGCCCTGGAAGAGTCACCCAGCTGGCACTGGGCACTGGGCACCTTCCCAAAGGGCAGGGCAGGCCGTAAGAACAGACAAAGAAACAGACGATGGCTAAAGGCGCAGCCCCACAGACCCGGGCACTTAACGACTCGTGTCAGTCCATGGGCAGGACCAGCCTGGAGACTTGCTTTCTGAGGGGTGCGTGTGGTTTATGTTTCAGAACCTACCAGGCCTTCCTGCATTTCCTTTTGTGTCAGCGGAGTTTCCTTAAAGAGCACCTTTTTTTTTTTTGGCTTCAACCCTATCAAAGCTATTTCCAGGTACATGCTATATCCTGCAATTTTCAGTTTGGGCCTTAACCTTTAAAAAATGAATTTAAATAAAAGATACAGGGGCCAGAAAGATAGTATAGTGGGTTAAGGCTCTTGTCTTACACGCAGCCAACCCTGGTCCAATCTTCAGCACCCCATACGGTCCCCCAAGTCAGGAGTGATTCCTGAGTGGAAAGCCAGGAGTAATCCCTGAGCATCGCCAGGTGTGACCCAAAACCTGGGGGGGGCGGGGATGAAATTTAGAAAACACACACACACACACACACACACACACACACACACACAACTTCTATGTATGACCCAAGAAACAGTGTTAAGTACATTCAAAAGCGCCCAAAGGCTCGGGCCCCAGAGACAGCTCAAGTGACCCTGAATTCAATCCCATGTGCCCCTTGGTCCCAAAGCACCCCAGCCACGCAGGGTGCACCCCGCTGACCCCCGAGCTCCCCTGGTCTGACCACCAGTTGCACAAGTCAAACCCTGTCAGGAACGGCCCCCACACAGCCCAACTCAATACCCGAAACACAGCAGAAAACAAAAACCAAACAACCGAGGACGCAGTCTGACGTGTGTGTACGTGTGCGTGCGTGCGCATGTGTGTATGTGTGCATATTCGAATATAGCCACTGGCAAGGAGTTTCTATTTCCGGCGACAACAATGAGTCCGTCTAAAGCTACACAGTGAGCCAGAGAGAGAACCACACGTGGCAACCCAGCTTCAACCCCCTGGAATCCCATGTGGTCTCCCAAGCCCTGAGTCAAGCACCAGAAGTAAGCCCTGAGCATTGTCGGTGTGGCCAAAAAAAAAAAATTCTTATAAAAATAGTAATACAGCTGAACACCAACTAACAACTAACTTTGTTCTTTTGGCTGGGAGGGAGATTTTCTGAACCAACGTTTTCACCACTTTTGGCTAACTCGTGGTACAGCTAATGTCTGGAAGCTCCTTTCAGAAACCCTGTAAAGAATTTAATTCGAAAGCCAGCAACAAAAGGGCTTATTTCCTCTCGAATGTTCCCGAGGAGGCTGTGCCGTCAGAAACTAACTCGTCTAACCAGGGGAGAGAGAGGGAGAGAGAGGGAGAGGGCACCAACCAAAGGGCACAGCAGCCAGTCAACGACTGGGGAGTAACGACTGAAGACGTCACCCAGCCTGCTTCCCAGGAAGAGCCGCTGGAAACACACAGAGAGCCTCAAATGGTGAACCGAGTGACTGTATCTCAACGAAGCCAGCGCTCAAAATGCGAACGGGATTTATATCTCACCTAATCCCAAACCCACCTAGCCGGGGGGACTGCATCGCGCCCGCCACAGCTCTGCCCCCCGCATGCAGGAGGAGGAATTAGGGTGCACAGGGTAGAGGTTCCGCTCTGCTCTTCTCAGCTTCAAATTCCCCGGCACCTGCCAGTATTACGAGACACCCAAGTGGGCCGAAATGCACAACTAGCCAGGTGCGCGGCAGCTCCGAGTATGAACGTGCTTCTGGAAGCAGGAAGACCCCAGGGCAGTGCCGGGCGACGTCCGTTCCAAACTCCGGGTGTCGTGTGGGCCGGGCCCAGTCACAACTCACGGGGCTCTCAGAGTGACGGGACTCCTCTGGGGAGAACGTGGAGCTGGCTCAGAGCTGCTCAGAGAACAGACGTTTTTCCCCCCCATCTATGGCAGAGTTTTCAAAGTTCTGCTCATTTTCTTTTTCTGACATAAAATAATGATCGCAACCAACTTTGAAAAGAATGCCAAGTGGTTAAAAAAAAAAAAAGCCAGAACTTACTTACCGAAGCCCCCGTGGGCCAGCTCCACACTACCCTGGAGTTCTAAGGCAGCTGTGACATCACAGCACGTTTTATGCTGTGGGGTCAAGGTGGACTTGGAGTCAGCCGCGCACTTTCAGGAGCCCTTGAAGAGAAAAGTTCGTTTTAACTGAAAACGTCCCGAATGTCCCTGGCCGTGGTCAGCAGAAGGTGCGTGTGGCCGTTCTCAGCCTGGAGTTTCGTTCCCTCCGCCGGTCTGACATGTTCTAAAGGAAACTGACCCAGGGAAGCGCCTAGCCGGCATTTCCCGGAGCAGATGGCCTGTCCCTGGGCGCAGAGACGCTCGGGGCGGTGGCAGCCTTGGGTGGAACTGAGGTGGACTTGGAGAGAGGTTTCCAGGGGGTGCTGAGTCTTTTCCCTCGTAAGAGGGGCAGCAGGCCGAGCCCACCCGAAGCCCACCTGCCCGCCATCGGGGCTGTGGCTGGATCATGAAGCTGGGCGGCATATTCACAGCAATCTCCTCCAGTGCTCAGAGAGCTCAAGGGGCTGACCGGGCCCGCCGCACGCTCAAGTCCTGGGTCTGACCCCTGGTACCACACAGCATCCTGGGCATGCCAAGAGCAACCCAGAGCAGAATGCTGGAAGGGCAGCCCCGGAGCACCGCCAGTGGGGCCCAAGACCAAACATGAGCTGCTTTTTGGGCCATGACCAAGCAGTGCCCAGGGCCTACTCCTGGCTCTGCACTCAGGGATCACTCTTGGTGGGGCTCAGGGAACCATACAGGGTACCACGATC